ATTTTTTCATTGAACGAAAACGTTCAAAATATTGAAAATAATGAAAAATCTCCAAAATATTACACTTTCGTTCAAACTGAGTAAATCACCACTTAGAATGTGTGCAATTAAGTACTCTTCTGAATACGTTATTTGTTGTCCGCATACAATGGATTTGAATTTTAAAACGATTTTTTTGCCACACATGGTCTCGTGCCTGGAAAACCCGGTCCGAGAGCCGCGAAACCAATAACCCCCCCCCGTACGTGGAAAATAATTATCGGATCGAAGTAAAAATTACATTTATGTTAATAGCTTACCTAGTGCTACTTTGTGAATTTTTTTGAGGATTTTCGATTTTTCACTTTTGTAGACCTCTGGTCGATATTTACTGACATCAGCTCTTAATTAGTATGGAGGAACACATATTTTTTCCCTAGGTTACTTTTACCAATGAGTGACGTCATAGACTCGATCGTTATGCATATTAATAAAGGAACGCACTTTTTGCGAGGGAATCCAAATTAGTATGCGGGAAGTCCAAGGGAAGTCCAAAAAGGGGCTGCTTATCTTTGACCCTAGTAGACTACTGTTAGATATACCATCTAAAGATAACTTAATACAATACTTTCAAAGTTTATATGGAATACACCAAATGTAATATAGATTTAGCCAGGGCTAAAAGCGAAGCTCCTATTAAATCGAATTTATAATTTCAATCAAACAATTGTAAACTTGTATTCCACAAATCAGTTAACTTTAGAGCATATTCATGTGACTTTTGACGGAAAGGCTAAGTAATTTTAGAGAAAAATAATTTGCAAACAGTCCAAGCTAAGAGTGAAATTAATCTTACATGGACTTGATAGCCGTATATGTACACCTAAAAAATAGCATAGCGATAATGGTTCTTGATCACAGTACACTAAAGGAAAACAAATCAGGCCGAATTTTTTGCGTTCAATAAGTTTACTTTACAAAATCTTGCCCACAAGTCTGGGGACGTGTAAACCAACCTTTTATATTTTTTAGTACCATGAGGCGCTGTTTTTGTTATACAGACCTCGGACAGAATGCAGTATTTCGCAATTTTGCAATACAAATTGCACTCATTCAATATTCAGAACGATCGAAACACGACAAAGAAAAAGACAGTTAAAAACATCACAAGTTGACACAAAACTCTGTCAGCTTCAGCTGTCAAAGTAAACAAGTTTCAAGATGCTGCATAAATTTTCCGCATGAACTCACCTGTCAAATTTTGACCAATCAGAGCATAAAAATTGGACGTAGAGCTTGACCAACGCGTGACCTTGGAGAGAAAAGTCAAAAGCAACTGGCATGTCTTCCCTGACTGTAAAAACTGGCTGAATCTTAGCTTCCGAGGTCAGTTTGAAATCAAAATTTTAATTATGCGGCATATATAAAACACAACATATTTCATATGAATTGAAAAAATTAAACTTGAGCCTGCAATCATTCGACAACTATGAACTTGTCAGCGGATAACTCCAGAAAAATACTCGACCTCGATGGGTCGACACCTGAGCCCGCGATACGGTCAGGTGATACTGGTCAGCGGGACCTTGTTTTGACATCTGTCAATTGATCACAAAATTGATGTGCAATATGTGTGCAGTATCAGTCTTCCTGTGCTCCCAAACTAGCTAGAAAGTGTGGGATTGAACATTGGTTTCCCTGTGGTGCGGACGGACGGGCAGCAAGCGGGCGGTGTACGGTCACGTGATTACCAAATTTTCTGGGATGGGTAGATTTACTTACCCATGGTGCTCCGCAGGCGCGCTTCGCGCGCCAGAGCTCCGCTTTGAACTTAAAGGTTTACAAGTAACAAAATATGACATGACAACAAGCAACAATGTAAAAGGTATATTAAATAATACATCATTGGATCAACACAAGTGTTTGAATAACAACTGTTTTGCAGTAGCTTTTTATTCCATCTGTTACTCAATTATTTCATCATGCAGTTATTGGAACTCAAAAACTTTAGATGCAATCATTCAAAATGGCTCTCAGCTAAACAATGTAATCAAAAGTAGGTTGAGTTTGATCGTCCGGGTGACCATAGTCCTGAATAGAACTGTTGTTGTTGACAGTGACTGACGTTTCGAAAACTTATGCGGTATTCATCTTCAGAGTCAAAGTGAGTTGTATCACGTGAGTTGATGGTATTATACTCTGATTATTGATCTGATTGGTCAATTACGTCGCTATGTTATTGGTCGTCTGTCAGCTAAGCCGTGATGTTATTGGCTATGAAGACTCGTAATCAGTAATTGGTGCGTTTCGATCCGTCTATTGTCACAGTTAAACAGTCGTCTATTGTTAGTCAAATTGTCAGTTCTCCAGTCGTTCTCTCGTAGTTAGTTTTGCTTGATCTCGTCAATAAGTCGTTTGCACGGCGCTGGTAACTGTTGGCTACGATTCAGTGGTGTTTGTTTTAAGTCGGTAAACCAGCTTTCGAAAGTAAGACGTTGATAGTAGTCTGTAGAATACGTTATACATGTCGAAAAATGTAATCAAAAAATGACTATCATTCCCAATCTTTCAATATGCCTGAGAGTGTTACAATTTTTGGCATGAAAATAAATGTAGATGTTAGTAAAGTAAGTCATGGGAAATTAATATCTATATCTTTAATATCTTTAAAGACATTGATCTTGAAAAACTATGGGAAAACAGGATTTTTAATGTGCATTTCAAGTTACTGCATCGCTTGCATTTACCAAAAAAATATTAAAGAAAAGTAATTATTTTCGCTTCTGGCTTATGAAGATAGTATTTCGTCTACAATGAAACACATAAAACACATTAGTGGTATAAATAAACTAATGGAGGCAATTCTAAATATTGTTCAAAATAAACAAGGTCAGACTATGGAGTATGATATACAATTTATTCACTGTTCTTCTGAAATTACTGAAAATGAAAGGAAAATAATTATAAGAAAACGCAGAAAAAACATATTTGGAACCTGCTGCGAAAAAAACAACAGCAGAAGAGAAGCAAAAAAGGTACTCAAAAATGGATCCTACTAAAAAGAAAGAATTATGCTTCAAACGGACAAAAAAGTATCAATCTTTAGATAATACAAAGAAGAAAGAATTACTTTGCAAACTCAAACAAAATTATCAATCTATGAATGCTGCAAAGAAGAAAGAATTACTTCGCAAATCCGCACAAAAATAAAAAACAATGGATGTTTCATTCAAAAATGAAATGCTCAGTAACCTTAGAGTAAAATACCAATTAATGGAAAAAGAAACAAAAAAACATTTAGTGAATAAATTCAAAGAAAGAATGATGGACAAAGGGACATCCATTCAATCATGCATTAAACAATTCAAGAAGAAAATAACAGAAGGCCCCTATTTTATATGTATTGTCTGTAACTGATTACTTGCTTACTTAAGAAATCAGTAATAACGTGCATAACCAGCAAATACCCTTGTGGGATACTTCGACGAGAAGATCGCACTCGGCACAAGTTACTAGTCCACGCGTCGTTAGTAAAACCTGTTTCCTTTCACCGCTCCTTCACGAGCAAATACAAGTTTATCGACGATACTCGATACTTGAAAAAACTTGTTCATGCAACCGCATCAAACTGAACTATCAAGCTACAAAGAAAAAAGTAGAATCCACGCGAAAACATCGACCCTTAGCGGCCCCAACAAACGGGCTGTAATTACGCAGTTATTTTGTTCAACTTAAATCAAATGTCTTTAAAAAACTCAACAAACGTGTCCGTTTAAAAACCTTCCTCCAGCAGGCATAACTTCGTCACCGGACGGTGGAACACGCTGCCTGCTGTTTTGATTTTGACACACCGTACTCCTCCGTCTTCTCCGCAAAACACTTCCATCACCCTTCCCATTGGCCATCGGTTACGCAACACGTTATCCTCGGCTATAAGTACCAGGTCGCCAATCTGAACATTTCTCCTTGACTTGACCCACTTTGATCTTTTCTGAAGAGTCGGCAAATATTCTCGTATCCACCTCTTCCAGTAGTGATCCGCAAGGAACTGCTCCTTTCTCCATCGCTTTCTAGAAAACGAATCCTCTTTCACAAATAAACCAGGTGAGAGTTGAGTGGCTTTCTGAAGAAGGAAATGGTTGGGTGTCAGCGCTGAACAATCTTCAGGGTCATCTGAAACAGCGGTTATAGGGCGGTTATTAACTAGGGACTCCACTTCAGCTAACAGTGTTCTAAGTTCAATGTCACTGAGTAGCCTATCTGCAACTGCGCTCTTCAGATGCTTTTTCTAATCTGTACGAGACGTTCCCAAACTACGGACGTATGGGGGGCAGCAGGAGGCTGAAAGACCCACTTGATGGCCTTCTGCTGCAACCGGCGATCAATCTTCTATTCATTCCAACGCGCAATAGACTTCCTCAACTCTCAGCTGGCTCCTACAAAATTAGTGCCCCTGTCAGAAAAAATCTCTTTAGGTGGTCCTCTTCTACTTATGAATTGGTGGAGAATCATAATAAAATCATCTGTTTCGAGTGAGGGCGTCGCATCCAAATACACAGCGCGAGTCGTGAGACATGTGAACAAAAATCCCCATCGTTTCACGGTTCCGCGGCCCCACTTGAACGTTAATGGTCCGAACAAGTCAACACTACTATTGATGGTACAGCCATAAACACAGCTTCTGCAATACCTAAATGTACAAAAGAAGATGAACTACCTGGAATGTCCGACCAAAAAAGAACACAGATGAGATTATTACTGTCTGAGTTAAAGCTGATAATAATTGATGAGATTTCAATGGTTGCTAACATTACTCCACTTCATATTCATCAACGATTAAAAGAAATATTTGCTACCACCAACTCGCAACTTTTTGCTGGTATAAGTATCATCGCTGTTGGCCATTTATATCAACAGCTACCACCAATTCGCAGGAAACCGGTTTTTGAGAATCATATAGATGACATTTTTAATGTTTGTCATCCTTGGCATGTATTTCAAGTGATTGAATTACATAAATAATGAGGCAGAAGGATGACCAACCATTTATTGAACTTTTGAACAGATTTAGAACTGCATCCCAAAATGATGAAGATATTCAGTGCATTAATTTAAGAACAACAAGTTCATCAGATGACAATTATCCATCTGATGCTCTACACATATGGGCTGAAAACAATTTGGTAAACCAACACAACAATACAAAATTAGAAAAGATTCTCAAACCTATGTTTACTCTATCAGCTACTTAACAATTATTCTTTGAAATCGAGGTGAATAGTGGCAAAATATTTGCCGAGCCGCGAAAGCGGCGAGGTAAATATTCGCAAAGCCACTATTCACCGAGATTGAAAAGAATAATTGTTTTAGTATATATACACGAAGTGATCTCAACAAAATCAGGGTGGAAACCATTAAAAAGCACGATTTCATTGACAGATCAAATCACGCGTAATTTTAAAAATAGTAGTCTGAATTTCATCCGATTACTTTGCTTTAATTCATGCAAAAAGTAAACCACGATTTTCAAGTGGCAAACCGAGAAATATCGTTTGGAGATGTCTGCATGATACAGAACTGCTTTATTTTTTTCGATTGTAACTCATGTTTAACGCATGCAGTACAACTCTGAACCGGTTGTACTAAATTCTATAATCAATAACGCACATGAAATAAACACACACACGGAACACTTAGTTCAAAAACACAATAATTTGCTTTAATTGAAAAGAAGCTATTTGGTCCTTAACGAAGAAAAAAACAAGGAGACAAGAAAGAAAAGCTAACAGAATCATTACACTTGACGGAAGAAAAAAATAGCAAGAAGGTCGAATTATAACATTGATCTCAGAAAAATTCGCGTAAACAAAATCACTGGCCGCCGAAACCACAAAGCGGCTCTAAATGAAAAACCTACCAACTCTCCGCAATGATTCTTCATTCGCAGTTCAATTTAGCATTTCAGTTTCGAAGACAAGAGCAATTTTTCTGTTTAAGATAAAGATTAAGCTTATCGAAATGTTTGAACTAAACCAAAGAATGCTGGGGATGCGATCCGCTGAATATCAAGCGACAATCGCGCGAAAATTTTTCATAATTATACATAATTATGCGAATGTTTAGACAATCAACCAATCAAAATCACTACCCGGTTTTCGGGTAGTGAGTGACGTCACTGGACGGAGAAAACGACTCGAAAACGACTCGAAGCAATCGGATGAATTTCAGACTATAAAAATAGATCTTTGCAGAATTTTCAAACATGGCATTCAAACATGGCATTTCACAAGTTTATCATTTCGCAAACAACAGCGTAATGGCTTAAATGAAACCGCTAGAAGTTTGAACTGTTTCCTTACCTGAGAAGAAAAGTAAGGCTTTGTTGTTTTCTGTTGACTCGCCAAGTTTATAGCCAAAAGGGTTTGTTGTGTCGTTCTTCGCATGAAGTGCTGACAAAAATGGCAGCTCGGTTGCTCGAGGTAAGACGTCGTCTTCCTGTATCATTCTTTTTCCTGTTTACTAGAAACGTAGAATTTCTGCTAACATTTCCTTTTAAATTTGTTTGTCATAAATAAGCTTCGATTTTTGAGCCAAAACTTTCTTGTTAGAAAACGCTGAGTTTTTCACGAAACGGCTTCTTCTAAGCGAACACGCGGGAGTTGTAAATAATCCATCGAGCACAAAACTCAGCTACAGTAAATTGAAAAACGCCGTTTTGAATCCTTCCAAGTCTTTTCTTGCCTTAAGAAAAAGTCAGCCCTAGGATTTTGTCGACTTTTAAAAGATCGTTCTCTAAAAAAATGGGAAAAACACGAGCTCACACATTATCCACTCGCTAGGAGGTGAATATTGCTGAATAGTCCGAGATAGAGAACCAATCAGATTGCTTAAATCACTAAGATCACTGAGTGTGTATATACTAAGGATCAATATCCTAAGAATCAATGTAAATAAATAAGATATTGTCAGAATCCTGAGAAGTGACAAATCTGACACAGGTGGACTTGATTATGAAATTTATTTAAAAGAAACTGCAAGAGTGATGCTTACAGTGAATATTCACATCTCAGACAGACTGATCAATGGTCAGATAGGTTCTTTGTTGAAGATAGATGTAAATCCCAATACTAAAAGGCCACCAATAATATATATTAAGTTAGATGATGATAAAGCAGGACAAAATATGATAAAAAACAGCAATAATAGATAAGATAAAGAACACAAAGCAGTACCCATTAAATCAATAATGGCAAAGATAAAAATTAGACCAGATAGACCATCATCACCTGAAATGCAACGGACACAATTTCCAATTACATTAGCATGGGCTTTTACTATACACAAAGTACAAGGACTGTCGTTAGACAGAATAGTAATTAGCTCTGAGCTAAAAAACAACGAAGCTTTAATTATGGTCAAATATCTGTTGCACTAAGCCGTGCTAAAACATTACAAGGTATTTACATACTTGAGAATTTGAAAAGAACCATGTTAGAGCAAATCCTAAAGTACAGAAAGAATATGAAAGATTACGGAATGCTACTGCACAAATGCCTACTAATCAAATAATGGGATCAATAATAAACCAAAGTGATCTATCCCTTTTAACTATCAGCCTTCTTAATATAAGATCTCTTAATAAACACAGTATTGATGCAAAGTTTGATTCTGCACTTTGTAATAGTGATATTATAGCTTTCACAGAAACACAACTTCTGCCCAATACTGATGACATTCAAATAAGACATAACTTACAACCATTTACATTATTAAGGCAAGATCATCTTTCAGACAGATTTTCTAGTTTAGCAATATGTACCAAAAGCAATATTGAAATCAAACAGTAGGAATACTTTCCAACGATCAATGCCATCAAATTTATTGTTATTAACCATGTCACTGACATAACCCTATGTATTATGTTACTTTATAGAAAACAGAGTTCAAATATTATGCAATACATAAATGGTATTAAACAAACACTAAATGATAATGATATCAATATTATTTTTGGTGATTTCAACATTAACTACTTAAGTGATGACGAAATAAAACCACTCAAAAGTTTAATGACTTCTCTTGATTATAAACAAGTTGTACAAAGTCCTACATTTGTTTCTGCTGGAAGTTTACTAGACCATGTTTATGTTAAAGGCAATTTTCAGACCATTCAATGTTCCGTACTAGCTGTCTACTACTCTGATCGCAATGCTGTTAATATTTCAATATTTTGAATAAGAACCATTCCTAATCAAAATAAACTAATTACTCAATTATTTGAATATACAGCTATACATGTATTTAGTTGAAATTAACAATTTAAATTTATCAATTATTTGAGTTTTTAAAATATTTATCTAGTCAAACTTCGTAACAGTAAAATACTAATTATTAAGAATGTTATCTAATAAGCTTCTACTTTAAAACAAACAATTTTCCCAGACGTGGGAAGACGGGACAACACCATTTGGTGGTGTTGATCATTACATATGACTGTCACCAAACAATAAAGTTGCACTGGAACTTTCAAAAGGTAAGTTCAAAAATAGATTACTAACATTAAAACCCACAACTAAGAACCTGCATGTTCCCAAGTTAGGCTGCCTAAACAGGTTCTTACATAAATGATAATTAGCACAAATTTGAGCGATGTATATTGTTAAATAGATAGGTAATTCTTATTTTCTAAAGTAAAGAATCCATTGAAGCTAATTTAAAGACCATTTAGTGATATATTCATGCAGCTTATTCCTTCATAAAATCTCTAAACAGTGTACTGTTACATTCTTGATTGCAGTTGGAGTGATAGGATACTAGTTTTTGTCCCCAAAGAGGATTGACTGAATGCTAACATAATCATCGTACTTGTCTAAGGGCACAAAATTTTTTCTATAGATTTAATTTAGACAATAAGAATTTGTTTCAAATTTTAGACTATACAGGTTCTTATAGAGGGGTCCTAACCGGTAAGTTTTAGGCTCATACTAGATATGAAAACCTGTGAAACTCACAGGCGACATAAAAGAATTGATACAAAGAAATCAACACATTACAGCCAAGGAAAATAGTAGCTAGAAAAGAAAGAAAAACCTCACAAGTTTTTACACTGAGGATGACCTACTGTAGATTTTAGCCTAGCTAACAAGTTTTTAGTCGTGGCTTTTTACTGTATAAGAACCTTGTTATGTATATGGTTGTTTTTACCATATTTAGCTGTTTGTTGTTTATGTAAACTAGGATGCATCTTACATGAAGGAGGCATTAAAAGCATGCCATCTTGCTAGGTTGTCGCGTTGTGTAAACCGAACATGGTGTCAGAAGTTTATGCTTATTTTACCGCGAGCTAGATACGCTCAACAAGAGAAGTCCAGTTTACAGTCAGTGAAAGCGGTTCCGGGCATAGCGGACCAATTTTCAAGCGAATTCAAGCGACTGAGAGCTTCTCAAGCCGTTTAGTTCACTGGACCACGTGCGAGCATAGAGCAATGCCAGCATCTCCAGAAGCGGCGACGCCGCCGCCGGTTCAAATAATCAGTGTTCCTTAAAATTTTCCAGTACCAAGCGCTATGGTTTGAAAAGGCGATCTCACCAGTAACTGGGAATTTTTTAAGCAACAATGGTAGGATTACGAAGTGGCAACAGGATTGGATCAAAAAAGTCAAGCGATTCGTGTGGCGACCATTCGTTCAGTCATGGGAAAAGACTGTCTCCAGATCTTTCTTAATCTTAACTATTCTGATCCCTCAAACCTTGATCCATTTTCCGGAGAAAATCATGAGACGTAGGTCCTTCTTCAGAAGTGTAACCGGTTTTAATGAAAGCAAAAATTCACGGTGAAACGAGAAAGCGTTTTCACCGGCGAGCACAATGTGACAAAATGCAAGAAATCAAAACAAGCTAGCTCTCACGTGATCCTATGACGAAGCACGTCTAACCTATGTTACATAACAAGGAAAACGTGACATGAGAAGGGAAACGCGTGACAGAACACTCCCCGTCTGGTATTTCAAAAAATGCCACTATAGAAGAAAACGAACAGTAACTTTTCTGAAAACAAAGTTATAAGCTTGTAAC